AAACACATATATAATTAATTACACATTGTTTTTGTGATTAATCACTATGCTTTCATTATGTTCAATTTGTAACAATGAAATTGGGGGTCACCACAACATGAGGAACTGTATTAAAGGGTTTCGGCATTAGGAAGGTTGAGAACCACTGTTCTAAGATCTATATTATGTATTATATATGATTTTTTACAAAATTGGAATCTTAATTTTGGATTCCCACTTAAAATGTTATGATCATTTTCTTATGCCATTTAATGTTTCTCTAGACATTTTTAATGACAGCATGATTGTGCCATTATTAATTTGTCCAATCCCCTTTTGCTGGGCATATACATTGTCTCCAATTTTTAGTCCTTTTTTTTTTTTACTCTTATAAACATAAATGAATGATTATGGATGCCATTCATATTTTACATACATACCCAATACTTATGAACACAATGTTATGTTTTTGTGACCTTTTCAACCCGTTTAAAACTTCTAAAGCAGAATAGATTTAAGAAAAGTAAATAAATTCTCACCCAGATTCTCCAGGCAATCTCCAGCACTTACGCTCCCTGCTTTAGGTGACCCCAAAAATATTCAGTGAGCATCTTCTCAGCACTGAGAACTTGACAGTGAACGAAGCGGTGTGGTCCTGGCCTTCCTGAAGCCTGAAATCAGAGTAACAAGACCAGCACCCCCCGACCAGGCGTTCCTGCACATTCCGTGTCATTTTCTCATTCCGTGTCCATGAGGACGCTCTCACTACCCCTGGAGGCCACCATTTCACAGGTGAGGAGCCTGGAGAACAGAGAGACAGGGCACAGCTACGAAACGACAGAAATAGGACTTGAGCTCAGCTCCTCTCAGCTCCAACGTCAGAACTCGAGATCCTGCGGGGCTCTTTGTTGTACCCCAGACTCTTCCCAGAAGCACTCACTCCACTCTGCTTCCTACCAGGGAATGACATCGAAGACATGTTGTTGTTGTTTGTTTGTTTGTTGTATTGATTTCAGAGAGGAAGGGAGAGGGAGAGAGGTAGAAACACCCATGATGAGAGAGAATCATGGATCGGCTGCCTCCTGCACGCCCCCTACTGGGGATCGAGCCCGAAACCTGGGCATGTGCCCTTGACCGGGATGGAACCTGAGACCCTTCAGTCCGCAGGCCGACGCTCTATCCACTGAGCAAAACCAGCCAGGGCCTCCCATGCTATTCTCTACCAGCCTCAGAACAAGCGGAAGGTGGGCCCTCTTTGGGGGGATGGGCAAGGTTACGCAGATCACCGATGGCCTCATTTCAAAGCCTGATCTGTTTCTTCAACACCGTACTGCCTCGCAAGGGACGATTCCACGGACATGTTTCTCCTCTAGGGAGCGGTGCCTCTAGAAACCCCGCCCTGGGTTCTTCTCAGCGGAGCCTAGAACTCACCTGAGCCCATGGCAGGGGGAACGCGTGTCTGTGCTTCTTTGGACAGAGCATCCTCCGGGCCACCTCCATGAAGCAATAGCTAGCGAGGTCCAGGGGAGCCATCTGGGAGAGGCCGCGGAAGGGCAGACCAGCTGGGCCGGCCTCGTTCTTCTGGTTCCCAAACCAGACAGGACTGTTCGATCTTGCACAGCCGTCAGCCGTCCTGAAGCGTAACGACTGCCAACTGCGGAGACATTTCAGGCCTGCGTGGCCAAAGCCAGATTCGTAATAAGCAGAGATGAGCCAAGGCTGGTGGCATTTCCTGCCCGGCCTTTCTATTTCGGAAGAGAGCCTTCTTCATGACCTGGTCCTTTCGGGCTGTGGAGCTGCAGCACTTTTCATACCTGGGGGTGTCTGGGATCAGCGGTCAGGGCCCGTAAACGTGCAGGCCCATAGCTGTAGTTCTAGAGGCTTTGGGAGTGGGGGGAGTGGGGTTGAAAATGGGTCGTTACATGCTGGTTCAGGCTGATACGCCGAAGGGAATGGCTTTCCTTTGATGCTGGGAACGATAGTTGATGTTCTCCTAATAGATAAGGGGTCAGGCCCCACAACTTGTGGCCGATTTCTCTGCGTTAAAGACTGATCTCGCTTTATAGGGAAACTTGAGGGGATCACACAAGTCGCCTCAAAACGGACCAATATCTGCCTGGTTGCCTTTGAACATTGCAAATCAAAATACCCTTGGGCAAGTTAGTGTGTTTTTTAACTCTCTCTTTACTTCAAGATGTAAGTTGTCTAACAAGCTCTCTTTATTTGCCTTTGAAATCGATGTCTCTGACTCAAGTCCTGAGCTCTGCTAAACTGCTGGTGACAAAGGTTACATTCACTGATAAGAGCGATTTGATCAATTTAAAAAAGCGATTGACAGTAGGACGCCAGGCTTTATGTGTAATATTTCTGTAATCTCATTCATGCCAGAACGTTTATATCTGTTTATATGAATATGCATGAAAAAGTAATAAGGATAGAAATAAGCCAGTTGGAGAAAGATAAATATCACATGATCTCACTCATTTGTGGAATATAATGAACAACATAAACTGATGAACAAAAATAGATCCAGAGACAGAGAAGTATTGAACAGACCATCCGACCTCAGAGGGGAGGGTGGGGGGAGGGGGTAAAAGATCAACCAAAGGACTTGTATGCATGTATATAAGCATAACCTATGGACACGGCCACAAGGGGGGGTCAGGGCATGTGCTGGGGGGGGGGGGGGGTGAGAGGGGCTGGGGAGTGGTCGATGGGGGAAAAAGAAGACATATGTAATACTTTAAACCACAAAGAATTTTTTAAAAAGTAATAAGGAGCCCTGACCGGTTTGGCTCAGTGGATAGAGCGTCGGCCTGTGGATTGAAGGGTCCCGGGTTCGATTCTGGTCAAGGGCATGTACCTTGGTTGCAGGCACATCCCCAGTAGGGGGCGTGCAGGAGGCAGCTGATCGATATTTCTCTCTCAGCGATGTTCCTAACTCTCTATCCCTCTTCCTTCCTCTCTGTAAAAAATCAATAAAATATGTTTTAAAAAAAAGTAATAAGGATCCTTTGAATGTTAATGGTGGTTATTTTCAGATCACGGAAACACAGGTAGTATTTTTACCTCCCTCTTCCTACTTTTTGGTGTTTCCCAAATTCTCTATAAGAAGCACAGAATTACCTTTATAAGCAGAAAATAAAAAAAGTCATTTGAGAAATGTCAAGCCACCCCTACAGCAGTAGTGTCACCAACTCTGACGTAACCCAATATTTAACAAGAAGTTTAAGATGCAAAAGACTACCAGCAGTTCTCAACCTTCTGGCCCTTTAAATACAGTTCCTCATGTTGTGACCCAACCATAAAATTATTTTCGTTGCTACTTCATAACTGTAATGGTGCTACTGTTATGAATCGTAATGTAAATATCTGATATGCAGGATGGTCTTAGGCGACCCCTGTGAAAGGGTCATTCGACCGCCAAAGGGGTCGCGACCCACAGGTTGAGAACCGCTGATAGGCAGATTTATGAATGGAGAGGTATTCAGTAAGACGAGGGTCACGTAGGGCCTTATCGTTTTCTTAATCAGATGCCTGGGCCTTGTGTTGTATCTGACTCTTTTTTCATGAAACAAGCTAGTTAGAAAGAAACCGTATTTATAGGAAGAATGGTGCCCATGCAAGCTGGGGACTCCCAAAAGGACCACCCAGTCTCGGAGGGGCTGCGCCCAGGTCCTGAGAGTGAAGGTAGGAAACCATGGGCTCCCCAGCAGAGTCCTGGCGCAGCCCTGCAGGCTTGTGGGAACAGCTGGACGGAGACAAGCTGGGTCAGAGGCCCGAGTTCCACCCACGGCTGTGCCTGGAACCAGCTGTGGGATGCCGGGCAGTCCACGCGCCCCTGCGGGCAGCCTGCTCCAGCTCCGGAGCTCTGTCTGCCCTGGCTGGGAAGCATGGCAGCGCTGGGAACGTTGCACAATTGGAGACCCATTGTCCAGAGCCACCAGAACACTCCTTCCCTGGAATTGCCACCTCATCGCGCTGCACACACCGGGTTTCCCCATCCCGGTTTCAGTTGTCCTCCCTCGGGAAGATGTCGCAAGGCCTGACTAATGCGCACGAGTGTCCCAATTAGGGTGATGCGGGGCGCAGGTGCTGGGAGCTCCAAAGGGCCAATCCCAAACCCACAACCGGATCGCAGCGCACATGCTGTGCCCCAAAGCCGCCTTCCCTCCCAGCTTGTGGGGTCACGCCTTCGCCTCTTTCCAAAAGATCTGAACGCACCCACCACCAGGAGTTGACAGGCGTTTAGTCAGGGGGCGCCCGTTCGGGAGGCAGCAGCCATACCTTCTCCCAAAGAATAATTCTGAGATTAAAACACAAACAAACAAACAAACAAAAGTCCCACCCACTGAGCGCCGAAGACAATGCCCACAGAGGCATTCGGTTCTCCCCTCCTCTCCAGGGAAAAGGAATTCTCAGGGTTTTCTTGTTGTTTTGCTTTGTAAGGTGCGCGGTAGGGGCCGGGGTTTGTGAGCGGCGCCCCCGCGGGCCGGCCGGGCCGGGCAGCAAGTCCCTCCCCGCCAGGGGGGCGCCTGGGGCGCGGGGAGTTGCCGGGACAACAGGGACGGCGCGCCCACGCCCCGGGGACCTGCGGCTCTGCCCAGGTGTGTGCCAACCGGGCCCGGCGCTCGCTCTCCGCAGGTCAGTCCGGCCGCTCGGCGATCTTCCCCGAGACCCTCGAGCCCTGTCCCCGGGGCTGGGGGAGCGGCGGCAGCGAGGGCAGGTGTCCCCGTCCCGGAGCCCCGCCTCTCCCTCCCGCTGCGCTCGGTCATCTCACGTCCTGTCAGCTCCGCGCGCTCCGCTTGGGGGGTCTGGCGAACCCGTCCCACCTCCCAGCGCCCCTCCAGGTCCCGGCCCCCGCGGGAAGGGCAGCGCCCCTTTCCGCTGTCTCGGGCGGCCTTTGGCCCCGGCCCCAGCCCGGGACGCGGGAGGCGGCGGCCCGGTATGCAAAATGCCCGGGGGCGGGGCGGGGCCTCCCTCCGCGGGCACATAAGCTCGGGGCGGGGCTCCGTGCACAGCCGCTGCCTCCCGGGAGCCGGCCGAGCGCTCCGGACCCGCGCCCGTCAGCCCGCCTGCCCGCCTGCCCTCGCGGCTCGCCGGCTCCCGGCTCCCGGTAAGGACGCGGAAGGACGCGCGCGATCGATCGGGGATCCGAGACGACGGGGGAGAGGCGCGCCCGCCCGCGTCCCTGTGGTCCGCACGGGGCGTCCTGTTCAGAGCTTCCTCCGTGGGAACCGAGCCGGCGCCTCCGCTACGCCCTCCCCGCGCCAGGCAGGTGGCCTCCGGGGCGGCGAGCAGGGCCAGCGTGTCCCCAGGCCATAGACCGGGAGGAGCTGCGCTGTGCGCGGGCAGGAGGGGCTGAGCTTACCTTGAGCACCTTGAGCGCAGGGAGATGGTGTGGGAAAGAGGAGCTGCCAGATGGGTCTCAGTCACCTCCCGTGTCGCCCCCAGCCTCTCGGGGGCGCCGGGGGGGCACGGGAAGGGCGCACGGAGCCAGGGAGGACGGCGTGGGCGTGTGCGCGTTTGAATGAGCAGGACTAATGGGCGTCGGAGGCCGCCGGACAGAATCTGCCCGCCGGCCCTGCAAGCTCCCCGCTCAGGAAACACAACTTTCGAAGCCCCTGGCCCCACCGCTTTTTTTTTTTCTTATTTCTCCAAAAGATTTCCTTCTGAAGTCTATTTAAAATTTTTAAAAATCGTGTATTGATTGAGAGAAAGGAAGGGAGAGAAACATCGAGGACTCTTGTATGTGCCCTGAAGGGGGACCTGCCACCTGAGTGTCTCTGGCGATGCTCTAACCACGGAGCCGCCCGCCAGGGCCTGAGTCTGTTTTTAAAGCCAGTGCCCATCTCAGGTTCGGCAAGTGAAGATCTGGGGTTTGCCCAGGTGGCCTGGTCTCACTTCTGCCTCCACCCCATCCTGCATCCCCGAAGACGCAAGGTGGGAGGGAGGAAATGCCATTCCAGAAGGTCCCCCGCCCCGTGTACTGTCCCCCTGTTTATGACGCCGGGTGGGGCCTGTCACTGGACCGGGAGAGCGGAGGAAAAGGGAAGCATGCTGTCCCTGAAAAGCAGGCAGAGCCCCCTCGGGAGGCGCCCCTTTGGGAACCCTGGGGAGGACCCGAGGGCGCTTCAGGCGGAGATGAGAACATTGCAGATCAGCTTGTACCCATAGGTGTCCTTGGAGCTATGGGATCTGAGCTGAAGGTCAAAGGCACAGAGAATGGGAACCAGGGAGAGGGTTACTTCCCAGGGAAGGGAGTGGTGAGGAAGGAGGGACAGCTGACACTTGTCCTGTTTCTCTGTGTGTGTGGCTCCGGGCAGTTACTGGATAAGAGAAGACTGGAAGCATGTCCGAGTTTTGGTTAATTTCTGCCCCTGGCGATAAGGAAAACTTACAAGCGCTGGAGAGATTGAACACGGTGACTTCCAAGTCCAACCTGTCGTACAACACCAAGTTCGCCATCCCTGACCTCAAGGTACAGTTCCCGGGGCGGGGGGGAAAGAGGAGGGGAGACTGGGGTGGGGGGTGGAGGGGTGTCTGCCAGAAGCCAAGGAGAAAATAAGGGCAGCGGCGGCCACACTGAGGGTCCGCCTGGGGGTGAGGGTGGACGCGGAGCCCAGGGTCCGCCTGGGACTTCACGACATCGCCCAAATGGGTCGTGGTACCTGGGGACTTGGAGCGACAGGACAGAAGGAAGAGGGAGAGGGTGTGGGAGCAGTGTCTTCACACAGAGGGAGGAGCATCTTACACACTTGAGCTCTTGTGAATTGCTTTCAGATTCTTCCTGTTTCCTCTTCAACATCTAGGAAGACCGATAACAGAGTTGAAATATTCAGGGTGGAGAGTTTCAGCCATGACAGGCAGGAAATCCAGGATCCTCCCGGCCCAGTCGGAGAGGCAGGCAGGGGAGCTGGTATTAGCTGGGCAGATGACAGAGAGAGATTTGACAGCAGGAGCGTCTAAGGCAAGCATGTCAAACTCGCAGCCCTCGGGCCGCACGCCTCGTTTGTTTGGCCCATGTTAGCCTTTGAGTTTGACACGCTTGGTCTAAGGCGTGGTTCTCAACCTTCCTAATGCCGCGACCCTTTCATACAGTTCCTCATGTTGTGGTGACCCCCAATTTCATTGTTACAAATTGAACATAATTAAGGCATAGTGATGAATCACAAAAACAATATGTAATTATATGTGTTTTCCGATGGTCTTAGGCGACCCCTGTGAAAGGGTCATTCGACCCCCAAAGGGGTCGCGACCCACAGGTTGAGAACCGCTGGTCTAAGGGCTCTTGCTTGGGAGAACAAAGTGAGATCGAAACGAACAGGACAGACAAATACAGGGACAGTCTTCTCACTTCAAAGAGAGGGACGTTCTGCGCTGCTCCCCAAGGTGGTGGGCCTCCACGGGAAGCAGCGTTGCGAGCGCTGGAGGGACGGCGCTGCCCGCAGAGCTGAGCACACTGCCACGCACCCCGTTACAACCCCCACGCACCCTTCCCGGGAAAGCTGAACCTTTGCTGCCATAGTTGTTGGTGCTGCTTCTACTTTTATTTTATTTTTTATAATTGATGTCAGAGAGGAAGGGAGAGGGAGAGAGAGAGAGAGAAACATCAATGATGAGAGAAAATCATGGATCAGCTGCCTCCTCCACACCCCACACTGGGGATCGAGCCCACAACCCGGGTCCGTGCCCTGACCAGGAATCGAACCGTGACCTCCTGGTTCATAGGTCGGCGCTCAACCCCTGAGCCACGCCGGCCGGGCTATGCTTTTCCTTTTGCTAGTGTTTATCGAGCGGTAAACTGGGGGTGAGGCACTTTAAACGCATCATCTCGAACCTTTGCAAGTCCCACGCTCTAGATCGGCCCGAGGAGGGCGCGGGTTGGAGAGCTGGCACGTGGCAGCTCCGGGATCTGAACCCGTATCTTGCCGACTTCCCAAACCTGCACGGTTGTCCAGGGACGGCCGCTGGGACAGTGAGTCAGTTCGGCCCCATCGTCATCTCCTCTGCGTGCGGCTGGAGGGGACAAAGAGGAAGACATACAGGACCCCGGCCCAAAGTTGCTTACAATCAAGTTTCTTGAAAAGAAGCCGCTTCACCTACCAGAGATACCCAGGCTGCACAGTTTCCCAGTTATTTTTTTTTAATCCTCACCGAGGATATCTTTCCATGGATTTTAGGAAGAGTGGAAGAGAGAGGGAAAGACAGAGAGAAACACATCCATGGGTTGCCTCCTGCACACGCCTGGCCAGGGCCCGGGCCAGGGAGGGGCCTGCAACTGAGGTACATGCCCTTGATCGGACTCGAACCCGGGACCCTTCAGTCCGCAGGCCGACACTCTATCCACTGAGCCAAACCGGCCAGGGCTCCTAGCTACTTTTTAACGGCTGATTGGTGGCTGCTAACGTGATAACAGAGTTTTTCCTTCTGATTCTGCAAATAGACCTGCAATGCATTTTCAGACTCTGATGATTTCCACTTATTAGAAGCAGCAGGCTGTGGAAAGTGATCTGAACAGGCAAGGACTCCCATGCATGGTGGGAGGGAGGGAGGGGAAGCTGCCCTGCCCGCAACATCACCGTGAGGCCTCGAAGGGAGGGGTGGGTGGGCGCTCTTGGAGAAGAGGGGCTTTTGGAAGGAGCACTTCTCGAACTTGCTTTCTGGTCTGTCTGCTCGTGACTCGGGATTAAGCTGTGACCAGCAGGCCGCCTCTCTAACAGGAAAGCCAGCCGAGGGCAGCCACCACGTCCTAGTCACGTCTTCCTGTGGCAGAAACGTGACAATGTTTCCCACCGGCAACAAGACATTTAAAAACATTTTTAAAAAACCCACTGATTTCCCTTAAGAGCTCTTCCCAGTTTCCAGTTTGGCTGCTGACCAAGGACAACGCACTCCAGGCGGCGGGCACAGGAGCCCGCCCCGCGGGGAAAGGCACGCTCGCTTCTCGCTTCTCGGCCACAGACCCTGAGCCCTGCCTGCTCTCTGCTCTTTCCAGGTGGGGACCTTGGATTCGCTCGTCGGCCTCTCGGATGAGTTGGGGAAACTGGATACCTTTGCCGAAAGGTAAACTATTTCTTATTTACTACAAACGAGGGAGAGGCGGCCACTGTTGTCAGAAGACACAGGGCTCTGGCTTCGGCTGAGCCCATACTCGCCTAAACCAGGTCCTAGAGGTCATGAGAAGAGTGTGTGTGGGGTGGGGTAAGGGAGGGCGGAGTGGGGGGGTCCCCTGAGGGCGCTGGGTGGACAGCGGCGTGCAGGGTCCACCGGTTTCGCTGGCGGGAGGCAGCTTTTTTTAAGGGGCTGCCTTCAGCACGGAGAGGGAGAGGCCGAGGCTCAAGTGCTGGCACCCTTAGGAAGAGAATGGGTGCAGCGTCCCCCCAGGCGTTTTAAGGGTTTTGTTTGGGGTTGCGTTTGGAGTAACATATGCGCATAGTAAAAAATTCAACAGCCCAGTGGAAAGCTATCCGACCTGCTCTCCTCTCTCCTTTGCCCTTGTTTCTCCTCTTGGAAGGCCGCGTGGTGCTAGTTTTCTGGGGGAGCCTTCCGGAGACAGCCGGTACATGCACACGCACATACGAGTCTATTCTCAACAGTAATGTCATGCGAACGGCAGCACGCATTCTGCACCTTGCGCCTCCCACCTGGTCACAGGATTAGAGACAGTCCCTAAGCGCGCGTCCTCTCTCCCGGCCGCGTCACCTTGAGCAGATGTGGGCTTGATTTACTGGCATTTCTCTGCGGATGGACATTAAGTTGTCTAGTCTTTTGCTACACGAACCATCTGTGATGACTGTTCTCGTGCACGTGTGGAAGTGAGGTGGCTGAGAAACGCTGGGAAATGTGACAGGGCTGCCCACGTGACCCTCCGGGAAGCTGCTCCTGCTAACACTCCCGCCCAAAGGGCGTGAGGATGCGCGAGTCTGAGCATCATTTGCTGTCTAGAAACACTTTTACCGTCTGGTACAAAATCATTGAAAGTACGTACAGATCACAGAAAAGTATGAGAAAGAAAATACAAATCACCCATGATTGTTATATTTGCAGTAGGTACATCCATTTTCCTACACATAAGTATTATTTTTTAAGTATATTTTCATTGATTTCTGAGAGGGAGGGAGAGGGAGAGAGAGAGAAATACATCAATGATGAGAGAATCATTGATCAGCTGCCTCCTGCACGCCCCCTCCTGGAGATTGAGCCCCAAACGCAGGCATGTGCCTTGACTGGGAACTGAACCTTCATCTCCTGGTTCATAGGTCAATATTCAATCATTGAGCAATGCCAGCCGGCTGGGCCACATAAATATTATTGATGCATACATGTATTCATACATATCCACCTATTAATAAAGGTGACATCACTTCACACATATTTTGTAACTTGCTTTTCATATCTTGTTCTTTTGATCTCACCATTAACTATTGCACTGTAATATTATGCCATGTGAATTTGCCATCACTTATGAGGTGGTTTTAGAATAATAATCCCTTGTTTTGGTGAAGATGAAAATCTGTTGTTTAACAAGTGATTTTTAAAAAAATTCAGATGGGCCCTGGCTGGGTGGCTCACTGGTTGGAGCATCAGCCTGGGCAATGACAGATTCTCAGGGTTGATTCCTGGTCAGGGACGTCTGCCTGGGTCTCAGGTTCATTTCCTGCCCCCAGGGAGCCAGTCCATGCTGTGTCTCTCACATCCATGTTTCTCTCTTTCTCCCTCTCTCCCCTCCCTCCCTCCCTTCTACTCCCTCTGAAGAGCAATGGAAGAATATCCTTGGGCCCTGGCCAGTTTGGCTCAGTGGATAGAGCATTGGCCTGCGGACTGAAGGGTCCAGGTTCGATTCCAGTTAAGGGCACATGCCTTGGTTGTAGGCTCGATCCCCGGCCCCAGTTGGGGCATGTGCAGGAGGCAACCAATCAATGTTTCTCTCTCTGACTCTCCCCCTCCCTTCCACTCTGTCTAAAAAATCAATGGAAGAAATATCCGTGGGTGAGGATTAACAACAACAACAAAAAATGCAGAGAGGTTAGATGAGGAAACAGTCGTGGCACCTCCAGAAATGACCCCGGGCTGACCGCTTGATCTCTCTCCTCCTTGGAGGGTTCCGATTTTCGGGGCCTGTGGGCACGTGCTGCTGTCCTTGTCAGTGGACTGGAGTCCCGGCTGCGACTGCCTCTTCTAATGTGTTGTGTGGGAAATGCGTAACGAGGCGTCCTGGGGGACAGAGTTCGGGATTTCTAACCTTCATAATGGTGCCCTGGGCCAGGGGTGTGGTTCTCTGTGCAGATGCTATTCGTGTTCTCGTTGCCCACGCCTACAGAGACCCCTGTGTAACTCCACGGGGGATGTCGGGCTAACCACCCCACGCCGGCCTCGTCCCCAGTGAGCAGCTCTCGGTCTTTGAGAAAGAAAACTAGCCTTTGGCTTTCTCATCTGTAAAATGGGGTAATAGCGACCGTCTCTGCCTTCCGGGGAGATTGAAGGGGAGTAAGATTGTGTTAAATCAAGAATGAAGGGGAGCCCTAGCTGGTTTGGCTCAGTGGATGGAGCGTCGGCCTTTGATCTGAAGGGTCCTGGGTTCGATTCCGGTCAGGGGCACATGCCCAGGTTGCGGGCTGGATCCCCAGGAGGCAGCCAGTCGATGATTCTCTCTCGTTATCGATATTTCTCTCTCTCTCTCCATTCCTCTCTGAAATAAATAAAATTATATTAAAAAAAGAATGAAGGGGAGTAAAATCAAATCCCAGGACACGCTCTGTGACCAATTAACATCCAAGAACAAGTGGCTTGACCCTAAGTATCAGCTCCTTTCCTGGGCTGCTCTGCATGGCGGGTGGTGCGCCTGACAGCGGCCCTGGAAGCCAGCCCACAGCCCTGGGCTGCGGTTGCCGTGGCTTCCTGGCCCCCACAGGCCAACCAGGAGGCTGTGCAGCGAGGCAGGGCGCTGGCTTCTCTGTGCACTGCTCCCAGGCCTGGCTGCAGAAATGACCTCTACTGGGCATTTTCTCTTTCTAGGCCTTTCCTAGCCACCTACTTTCTTCCCTAGCGCAAGCCGTTACCCTCTCTCTGATTCACCAAAGCCCTCTCTCACTCTGGAAGTCTGTGATCCAGCAGTACTATTACTTCCACCTTTATGTTGTTGTTGTTTTTAGGAGGCATTCGTGTTGTGTTCTGTACCTGTTTGTTGTGTAAGTTGCTTGTGATGGTGGGATAGCATCTGTTTAAGGAATGATATGAAAATGTGTGAACAAGCAAAGTTGAGGCTACAATTGTGAAACAGATAGGACACAGAGGAAGGAAAGTGGTGGGGTTCTTTCGTTTGTTTGTTTAAAAAAAACAGGCTAGGTGTGGTAAGAATGAAAATCACCGTGTATTGTCTTACTTGTGGGTATATAATCTCAAGAGCCTACCTATAGGGAAAAAGAAAAAGGGGTGTGGTTGGTTTGAGACCCCCATAACTCTTTATTCTTTCTTTTTCTTTGTTATTGATTTCAGAGAGGAAGGGAGAGGGAGAGAGATAGAAACATTAATGATGAGAATCATGGATCAGCTGCCTCCTGCAGCCCCACACTGGGGATCGAGCCTGCACCCCGGGCCTGTGCCCTGACCGGGAATCGAACTGTGACTACCTGGTTCATAGGTTGATGCTCAACCCCTGAGCCACGCTGACCGGGCGAGACCCCCACAATTCTTATTCCCAGCATTTACCTAGTCCAGATAGCAGGGCACAGTGCCTCAGGGGTGAATACTGGAGCTTGGGGTGAGATAATGAGGTCCCAGACCGGCTTCAGGTTTTCGGAATGCCCTCCCCGGTTCTCTGGAAAGGACCCCGTGTTGTGGGTAAATACATGCTCGCTGGCCGTGTGGCCCGGCAGCCTGAACCCGCCCGCGCTGTCCGGCCAGCAGCGCGGAGGGAGGGAGGGACGGGTGTTTTCAGGGTGTATTGTTTCCCTAGCCTTTTATTATTTATTCACCCCAGGGCACTGCAGTGTTTTTCCAGCAGCTGGAAGGCGGTTCGCTTACTGGATGGGGCCTCCCCTGTATTTTTGATTTATTTCCCCATTCTGCCTTGGTTCAGGGACTCGGTACTTATACTCGAGCTCATGACCATTTGAGAAACCAAACCATTTTATCTTTTAAAAAGCTACCCCGCCCCCCCCCCTTTTTTTTTCAATGTCTGAGTCCTTCACGGGATCTCAGCCTGGTTTGCTGTGCTGGTTGAACTATTACGTTTCCCAGGCGCCCAGCATTCGGACATACCTCGTGGGCGCCTGTGGCACATCGCCAACGTTACTGGCACGGCGGAGCGTTTCCTGGTGGAGTAGCTGGTGACTTTTCTTCACCCACGTGGGTCCTTGCGGGCGGCAGGGGCGGCTGACGGGAGAGTGCGATGCCTGCTTAGGAGCGCAGATCTTAGGGAGTCCGTTCTCCGAAGGCCATTCTACAGAGAAGCAACATATAATTTTATTATTTTTAAAATATATTTTTATTGATTTCAGGGAGGAAGGGAGAGGGAGAGACAGATAGAAACATCAGTGATGAGAGAGAATCACTGATCGGCTGCCTCCTGCACGCCCCACACCGGGGATTGAACCCACAACCGGGCATGTGCCCTGACTGGGAATGGAACCCTCACCTCCTGGTTCATAGGTCAACGCTCAATCACTGAGCCACGCCAGCTAGGCGCAAAATATAATTTAAAAAATGGCCCAGCTTCTCTGTTGCCGCAAGAACATCAGATGGAGATCACCTGCGTGCCATTTCTTCCATGCGTCAGACCAGTGGTTCTCAACCTTGGCTGCACATTAGAATCACCTGGGATTCTTTTTAAAATCCTGATTTCTGGGCCTCAGGATCAGGACGAGGCCCAGAAATCAGGATTTTAAAAAGATTCCCAGGTGATTCTAATGTGCAGCCAAGGTTGAGAACCACTGCGTTAGACAAACACCAATCGAATGCCTCTGTGCGCCGTGTGGTTTCTAGATGCCTCGAAGCTGCTGGCAGTCCTACTGTGCGTGTTCCCTATTCTCCTGCTCGCTCCAAAAACCGATTCAAACCTCCCC